TTAGCCTGCTGAATAAAACTCTTTTAAGACAGGGAAGTCTCAGCTTGATGTGAAAAAAGTGGTCGTTGGTCGCTTTAGAGCAGAAATTAAGTCTAGAATTTGCAGAACCATTAATCATGAACTTTTTTGGAGCATAAAACAGGATCATTATGTTTGATTTATCGATTTTTTTTGGTATCTTTACAAAAGAACTATGACATCTATCGCAAGTAATCACCTGGGGAATGTCTGTATCAAATACAGTAAGACTGTTTTTAGTATTATGAACCTGGTTTTGCGGCAGTAATTACTACAATATTTTTCACGGTCTTCTAACTGTGTCTTTGGTCAGGTGAGCGTCGGTCGCTTCAGGATTCCTATACTTGTGTCTTCTGACCAAGGTAGCTTTTGCTAACCTATTGATTTTAGTTTGTATATGAACAGTTAATCGTTGTCCAACCTTTCAGTTGTCTATTAACAAAATCCATAAAACAAGGTATTCCAGAAAGTATTTGAGTTTAATGCTCAGACCAAAACAGTCGTTGACTTGCTCTTTTCAGGTAACTTATACACTTTAGAAAGCGTTTGATATGTTCCTACAGCATGAGCGACTTTTTACTGGTTTAAATCGCTCGCTTACCCGGCATGTTCAGTGTACCGTCGAAGGGCAACGTGAATTACACACACCGATTTGTTATACATTGAAATCCGTTTTCAGAGACGGATTTTATTTCTTCTGTTTTTCTTTACTGTATCTCTTCGTAAGCTCTGTTGCGCAAGATATTTTGGAAGGTGATTTGGAAGTTTGTGGACAATCAGATTTTTTCCGCTCGATACCAAATATTAACCATTATTATACGGTAAATATTATTATTTTTACCTGTAGCTTCAGTTGCATGTTGTTGCATTAAATGTATCTGCCCTTTCACTTTTTTGTAAATAAAAAAATTAATGTTGAAGATTTAGTAAAAGCTACCTAGATAGATGCTCATCGGTTAGTTGGTGCACAAGTGTGTACGCCAAACGCTTGGCCATGGACTGCTCAGTTGGTTCTAAGAAATGGACTTCATCGTTGCGGGGCAGCACTAGTAGATGCCAATTACGTAGTCACTGCAGCTCATTGTTTTTCACTAACGTTAGTCAGTTTTACTCATATTGCTCAGCTGATTCACTCGATGATTTACTTAACAGCTTCCTTCTAATTTACTGCAAGTATTAGTTATTATATTAGAGGTTAAAAGGTTTTTTTTTGTAAAATATCACACAAACTAACTACATACAGATAAGATCAAATAAAGAACATTGTTAATGTTTTTGCATGGTACATTTGATTGAAGTTTGTAGGTAACATGCTGCAGAGATTAGGAAAAATTGAAAAAAAAGACTAAGAGAGCATTTTTTGGTCTATACTACTGAGCTTAACGTTATCCGTGAAGCCTAGATCAGCAGTATTTTTCTTCATTCGATAAGTTGCTCTATCTACTACAGTAACGGTTAAAACCACTCTTCATATTTGTACAGTTTCAGTAATTTGCTTAACGAGATCATCATCGTAGGAGTGCCTTCCTACAGCAGTCTTCTTCACCCATGCTTTTGCAGGAGAAATCCAAAACGCTACAAAATTTTATTAGGTGGTCATAAAACTGGCAGTGGGCAGTTACATTCTGTTCAAAATATATCTATTCATCCCTTCTATAATTTGGTACTGCCTAGTTCATATGATATAGCTATAGCGAGGTAAAGCACATGTATATTGACTTTTCAGCTTTCTTATAGAACTATTGTATGAATCTTTGTAGACTTATCCAATTTTCCAACTTTGCTGAATCTATATATTTAAGAATCGAACCACCAGCTAACTTCAGTCGTACAGTACGCAAAGTATGCCTACCGATGTTTCCCGTGCCGGATAACAAAATATGCATTGTTACAGGTTTATTCACACTCTAAATTTAATAGTATTACCGTTCAGCTTTATCATAGCAAAAATGACCAGATTAGAGGTAGCAGTCAGACCAGGTAGCGTTACCAGCCTACCACTGAATATTCTAAATGGTCGGTTCTGCACATCAGATAAGCCAAGATGACACTTTAAGATTGGACGAACACTATATGACAGAACTATTGCCCACATTCTCCTTTTCTAGTAAAGCCTTAAACTTTCCATTATTTAAAATAGCAGCATAACGTTTCTGTAATCTACACCGTTTAAAGAATTTGTTAATTAAGTGACCTAATATAATCTTACCTAATATATAAAGAAGTATGTTGTGTCCTCCGTGTTCTTCAATTTTTCAAATCAAAAAGCTTTGATGCGTGGAAATGATTTTTATTCCTGTTTATAATAAGTAGAGTAACACTATGCAGATTTTATGCCACTGACTAAGAATTTTCGGTTTTCACTTACATTTGTTTTAAGCTTTTCTATCAAAGCTTAGATTAAATGGGCGTTTTTTAAACTGGTGCTTTTCTGTTAACGCAGCAGCTCTATCTTCTCTTTTATTTTAAATTTTTAAATAAATTTTGCATAACTCTAAAGTAATGAACAAGTTTAGTGCTAACTGTCAATTACAGCTTTCATCTACTTTTACTATAATCTTGCTGAAATTTTATTGAAATCTAGGTTGGGGCTACGACAAAGAGAATGGAAGTCGTTCAAGAATTTTAAAAGAAATTCACGTGCCTATTTTATCCACATTCTTGTGTAATGATCTGCTACATTATCAAGGTCGACTTCATCCTCAATCAATGATGTGTGCTGGTTATAACAGCGGCGGGATTGACGCATGTCAGGTATGTGTGTGATCTCTAGACAAAAAAAAAAAAATAAATAAATAAATAAATAAAAAATGTCTTCTAAGGGCGATTCCGGTGGTCCTTTATTTTGCGAAGTTTCTGGTCGATGGGAATTACACGGTCTGGTTAGTTGGGGCAACGGCTGCGGACGTCCTTTCAATCCTGGTGTCTATTCCAAAGTAGCTGCTGTGGTGCCATGGCTTAGGTTACAGATGCTTATTCTCCACTAAACCGTCCGCTATCGAAGCGTTTTTGGTGAATGTTACAATGAATGCTTCGCAAGAAACGGAATGAGAACACGGTTAAACCTCTGAAAAACAAGGTCTCATTAGTCAACGTTCCTTAACAAAAAAGACCTGTTGGTTCTCTGTGGTATCAAATTAGTACTAAAAATTATCTGATCGTTTGCAACCTGATTTACGAAAAATAAATGTCAAACTTACTTCAATTTTATTGGATAAAACTGTACGGGAAATACTCTATGTATTGCACGTGCAGTTCAGCGGCAAAATTGAATCTATTCTTCCGGATCTAAAAGTGTGAGGTTTTAACAGCTTGTTAACTTTCTTACTTGTTCTACAACCACTGGCAGAGATCTTCCGAAGGCCTTCATGATCCGCTAGAATCTCACTTGTAATACAGCACTATGAAACAACTTCGCAGGCCTGTTGTGAGACGCATTTCTTTCTACAACATCACAGAAACATTTTACTTCATAACTACGCTTGAGTTCCAACCTCAACTACAGCAGTAGTCACTTGTCCCAACTACTCACTCTCCTAATGCAGTGACCATCGCAACAGCAAAACAGCGTCACAATTCCTGGACTACCGCCCACTCGTAAAACCCACGTCGCAAGGCAACTACGAACAACTGGCTTTATCACAGTGACACCTTAACATCAATTCATCGATGTCAGCCTCCATAGCAACTCATTTCACTAATACAAATTATCATTAAAACACGAAAAGCAGCTGCGCAGCACCGACCACGTACTATCCACAACTAGTGAGGTATTAGACGAGCCAACTGACCAGTTAAGCAGCACTCGACACAACTCCAACACACACAAAAATTAAAAGTATTTCAATTAATTGGACCTTAGGCGAAGGAACAAACTGCAATAACCACTAACACTAACAGCTTCTTCTTCGGTATAAGGTCCTGGGTAGTTTCGAACAGTCAAACAGCAGAGCAGAAAGAACGCTAAAAACAAAGGCAAAACATTAACCTGGCTGCTGTAATTCTGAACTCTGAAGCAGAAATCCTTTTTCTAATCTAAATCTGATCTCTCAATTAACAAATGAAAAATAGCCTCTAAAATCTATATGCAGCACAGAAACCACTAACAAAGTAAAGATATACAAATTTACAAAAAAGCGGAGCCACGTTGTTTTTTTGCCAATAATAGCTCTGAATGTGGAAAAAAAAAAGCAAAAGTTTGCATCTTTGCTTAAATCATTTATAACTTCAAAACGATATTATAAAAGATACTGTGAAGAGATAACAACAGAGTTACGGCGTGTAACTGGAAAACAAAACTGAAATAGGTGATTGAAATATGGCAACCCACTCCAGTGAACAGAAATAAACAAAGATACAAAGCTAGCGAGTTTCAAAGTCACATAATAATTTCCAATCCTTATTTAACTAAGCATTCATTCACAGCACAAATCAACAATGATATGTAAGTTAAAAAAGCCGATGAACCTTTTTAGATGTAGTAATAACACCCTCTGCATTCCTGCAACTATAGGAGAAACGATCCTAGCTATCGATCAGAACAACTGTACGCTACGATAGAAGCCTTCTACAAACTAACAAGAGAAGAGAACACAATGGTTCATTTACACATACACTTACGAGAAAACAAATAACATCCTTCTGGTAAAGAGCTGCATGAAACAGAACTACCAGAACTCAATACCGATTTGAACGGTAATTTAATAAGCACCCGGTAGGTGAATATCAGCGACAAGAAGTTCGCCAAGGAAAAACGAAGGACCAGCGAAAAGGTCATATCTTCCATTTTGGGCAGAACTCTAAAAATAGCCAAAAAAATTTTCCGCATCACAAAAATGCATTCAAAATGGGTACTATTAATCATCTACTGTTTATACCTCCGAAATGTCAGACGGGCTAACCGGTTGATGCATACTGTCATAGTCCCGGTCAGAAGGAGACGACAGTGAGGGGGAAAACATCACTACAGAAACATCTACTTCCAAGCCACTATCTGCTGAAAATACAATGCCATAAAAAAGCGGAATTGCTTAAATTCAATAATTGCTATAAAGGTTCTAGTCAAAGAAAAAAAAAAGGCTTACCATAATGACCACTTTCGCTACCATATTTTCTTTGAGAGGGATACGAGAGGCCTGTTGCACACTCGCTGTAGTCATCGTTTTCTTGTTGAGATTCCGGCTAAAATTCATTTCTCTTCAAGACAGATCATTGTAGAAACTAAGATGAGTTCTGAGCAATGATGGAACACAAATAT